GGTGCAAACCTGGCAGGCAAGGGCTAGAGTAGATGAATTCACCCCAACAACGTTACAGACACAACTGCAAGCTGCAGCAGACGATGATGATGTAAATAACAAAATAATTCACACATATATGAGTCGGATTAGGGGCATAATTGAACCATTTAAAAGACGGTCGTATATGTATTTTAAAATTGGGTCGGATAGTTAGGGCATAAGTGACCCCTTTCTCTTTTAATATAAATGTCAAGTGATAATATATATAAATGGTGTGAAATCTCATTTGGCATTTAAAGAAAAGTAAAATGAGTTGGATATTTCGAGTTGACCAACTAACACCCATAAGGGCATATGTAGACCAAAAGTTGGACGCGAGGGTATAAATGGACCAAACTTTAAACGGGGGTATATCTAGACCTTTCGAATAGTTTAGGGCATATTTGACCCTTTTCCCTTGAATATAAATGTCAAGTGATAATACATAAAAATGACATGGAAAATCCATTTGGCATTTAAATAAAAGTAAAATGAGTTGGATATTCCGAGTTAGACAACTAGCGCCCAAAAGGGCATATGTAGATCAAAAGTTGAACGACAAAGCTATAAATGGACCAAACTTTAAACGGAGGGTATTTTTCCTATATTTTATAAATATTTTTGTGGTCTATTTCATCGCTGTGTATTTTGTCTTGTCCCATTACATGTGTTTAACGTGGGGTCAAAATGGTCCATGAGTGTGTCTGTCTTCCGTATTATTTTATTTGGAAGTACTTTAATATATATACTTAACAAATAGTAAGAATTTATTTGATTTCAGTAAATGTTTGGACATAAAATTAGTTAATATTTGAAACTGAGTTTTAAAACATGCTTATGTATTAAAGTTGTGCTTGGATATGAAAAAAGTAAATAAAAATATTGAAAAATTGTATTTTCAAATCAATTAATAAAAGTCATTTGAAATAGTCTTCAAAATTTGTTTTATGTAGACAACAAGTCTTAACAAATTTATACATGGGGAAGTATAAATTATTTTTTTTATATGAGATTCGGTGAAGATAATTATTTGCTCCCTCCGTTTTTAATTTAAATATTTTTCTTGTTAAAAATATATTGTCTTTAATTATATATCATTTCAGAATACAAATATATAAGTAACTTTAGTCTTTTTATTTTTACTCTTCAGAGTTATTAGCCTGAAAATATGAATTAGATCAACGTAGAAAAACTACATGAATAATTCATGTTCAGTAGTCAATTCAAATAATCAAACTAAATTATTTTTTATTCATTTATTAAAAAAATAACTTTAACAGTACACTAAATAATGGATAATAAACTTATCAAATTTCTCAAAATCGTAAAATTTAAAATAACAAACATAAAAATAGTAATGGAGAGTAATATTTATGCTGGTAAAAATAATTTCCATAGGGTAAATATCTGTCTTTGCTCAAAATGGTTTAGTAATTAATCCACACATTTAATTTTATCCAAAAAAAACAGTTACCTTTCTCAATGATTAGCTGAGTTATATGTAAAAAAGAAAAAAAAAAGACCTTTTTGGAGTTCATATGCTTTTTTCTTCCCCTTAATATATCAACACCACCAGATTAATTTAAATCAACATTGCATAATATTTATTTGAGAAAAAAAAATGCTTTCTAACATATTTTTTATTATTTATTCAGAACTCAATTTTGAAAATCTCTGGTATGTTATATTAGTACTTCCAAATATAAGTAACAAGAAAAGGAAAAAGAAATAACATATGTATTGCTGATCAGAGGCGTATTCAAAATTTTGAGATGATGACGCATTATTACAAAAAAGGTTGATATAAAATATATATTTGATCGGTTCGATAGTTACGTTCTTATTACTAAAAATCGTTAAATTTTTAATATATATAAATTAATTAATTCAAAAGTAAAAAGTGTTCTACTTAGAGAGGTATTATCTAATTTTAGAAAGAAAAATAAAACAAGAGAAACATATATAATTCAAATTCCTGACATCACGTACAAAGATGTGGTCAGTCATCATCGTACTATATGATATTTCGAGTGTGAATTCACACATCTATATTGTATTTTTTTTAAAAAAAAAATATAATATTACTTTATATAATTTTCAGAAGGAAAGTATAGATTCATGTAAACTCAATAACCCAAATATGCCCTTTTTCTAACGTATATAATACTAATACAATAACTAACATAAATTATTTATTTCCACAAAGATTATCCAGAAATTGTAGGGCACTATGCCACAATCAATAAATTAGACAAAACAAATAGATAGGAGTCATTATAATCATGATTCATACCTAGTCTTTGAATAAATTGAAATCAACTATATAATTTTTTATTAATCATATTTTTATATTTATAATTCTAAAAATTAAAAATTAAAAAATACAAATTAATTTAAAAGATTTGAAATACAATAAGAACATAGCTAATATAATCTCACGTTAACTCAAAATTTTGAATCATACATCTTGATATGTCTGTAATACAGCTAGTGTTGTCTTTTTTTAAATTTTTTTTAATATAATATAAATAAATAAAAATAATTAGTTCTTGGTCAAACAATTGCTTTTTGATGTTCCCTTGCCACTTTAAAATATTGAATAATTATCTCCCTTAGAAAAATGGCACATGAGGTATTTATTTATTTATTTGTATGTATTATTAGTGGTAATAAGTAAATTGATTAAAAAGTCTCTAATTGTTTTAAAAAATAATTAGATCGTGGATACCACTATTTTACAATTATTAAGGATTGCATTTAGATTTTCCTTCTTCTTTCTATGTACTCATCTAGTCATCATATCTTTTTCATTCTTTGATTTAATCACAACTCCTATAATTAATTTAAGTATGACATGTTTTTTAATAATATTTTATTTTATTTTCCATTAATAAGGTAGAAATTGCACTCATAAAATCGATCTTACATATGTTATTTAAATTATTTCACTCATAATTAACGTTAGTAAATTTTATTTTTATGTTTCTTGCTCATTTCTTCATCCTCCTTAATTCCTGTTTAGCGCAAAATCATTTCTAGTTAATTCGATTTATAAAAGAGAACGATGTTTAAACTTATTTATACTTAAATAATTTGGGATTTATTTTTTATTATTCCTCAATAACTTAGCAAGAAGTAGATTGTTTATATTTTTCAATTCTACTTATAGAATTTGAATTTTTTTTCTTAATTTTTTATTTATGTTGTATTTTTTACTTCTATTTTAAAGGTGTATTTAGTATGAAAGAAACATTTTTTCAGTTTTTCTATATTTGGTTGATTTAAATGTTTTTCAAAATAAGTTATCTTCTTCAAATTTAAGAAAAATGATTTCACTTGAAAAATTTGAGGAAAATATTTTTCAAAACTTTAGTTCATTTTTCAATAAATAAAATTTCTTATTTTTTAAATTTCAGATAAAATTTGATTCCTAACTCCAAAAAACCCTAGCAACAAGCCCGTCTAGCTCAGTTGGTAGAGCGCAAGGCTCTTAACCTTGTGGTCGTGGGTTCGAGCCCCACGGTGGGCGTTTTGTAATCTTTTTGTTATTGGAGATGAAAAAGTAACACGTGAGTTGAATTACTTTTTCATACACCAATCAAACATAAAAAAATAAGTTACAAATTCAATTATTTTTTAAAAAACATTTTCCTTCCCATTAAACAAACCCTAAGTGTGTCTGATTAATGCTTTATATATTTTTTTTTAAAAAAGCAAACTATCCTCTCGTCTATTAATGCTTCTATTGAAAAGTGAGTATTCCTCCTAAATCATTTCTGACCTCTTTAATTAAGAGCAATAATAAGGTTGGAAAAAACATAAAAGTTAAATGTTATCTTGATATTTTAAAGTAACAACTCCTTTCATTTTAAAATAGGTTCAGATTAACTCAATTATTTAATTTTTAAAATTAATTTTTAATCTTTTTGTTATATTTATCCTTCATTCAAATTTTTATACGATAAATTCAAGAAACTTTAATCAATTGCTTAGTAATAATTATCATGATTAATATTTAGTCATTTTAAAGAGTAATCTAACAATAATTAAAAAGTATATAAAAAAATAAGCATAATTAATGTATTGATATTCTCTTTGTAAGAAGGTATGCAATGTTTTCACCATTTACTTATTTTAAAATGAAAAGAAGTACAATTTTTTCTATTTACTGGAGTTTTAAATATGGAATAAGCGGAACATATTTTTTTTTACGAAACAAAGATAAATATAAAAATGGTATATTTACGCCTTTCGTTATATTTTAGGGTTGTATATACGCTACAATTATTTTTTTGAGTTGTGTATACCCTTAAAATTAACAGACGGACACGTAGTTTCATTTCAACAATTTACTCAATTTTATTTACCTAAAATTAAAAGATCTACCCGACCCACAACCAAATAACTTTCATCTTTTTGGTAAGGAAATTGAATTTATTCCTAGGTTATCCAAAAAAAAAAAAAGAACTTCATCTAGAATAAACTTAATACGTCCTCCTTAAAGTTTCAAAGAACAACAATTAATCAATCTTCGTTAGTTTTAAGGGTATACACAATCTACAAAGAGCAATGATAAGAGGATATATAATTTTAAAGTAAAATGAAAGATATTTATGTAACATTTATAATAATTTAAGAATATATATATATATTTATTTTTTTCTCTTTTTAATATAAAATTTTGACATTAACCTAAAACGAATGGATACTGTTTGTTTATTCCGTAACAATCCTTATTAATAAAATATATTGTTATTATCTGACATTATGCTATGTGAAACTAAAACATTTTTATCCATTCTTTATTGTTCTATAACACTTATTTATTTTCCAATTCTCAAAATTTAAACTTTATATTAACATGAGAAATATTATAAAGTTACCTAACATGTAATAACTTTTTTTTTAATAAATTAAGAAAATAGTCTCACAATTTAAATATAAATAGTGGTAAAAAATTTATTTTTTATATTTTATCTCGAAATTATTATACGCGGCCGGCGGCTGTACCCCAAAGGTGTAGCAGTGACCACCATCAAACTGACTGCTGACACTTCACTGTAACATTGAACAAAAATCCCATTTTTAGGTTTTCTTCAAATCTCCATTAACGACCTTCAATCTTGTAAATCTTCATTAACGACTTCCCCTGTGTTGAATCCCTCAATTGATCACCATTTGCAGTTCTCTTTCCTTCATCAATGGCTGGAGAATCAGAATCTGCTGCTGAACCTAACCCTAACACCCTCACCCCATCAAATCCCCCTTCTGCCGACGCCATTAATATTGTACCTCTTCAAACTCATTCACCACCCACCAAGCTACCTTCTCGACCCAGAAAAACTCGGAAGCTTTCCAATACTGTTGATCCCTGTTTACCCAAAACCCAGATTTCCACCATCGTACCAAGAATTGTTTCTCGTTCACTTTCATACGAAGGTGAGCTCGAATCCGCCATTAATTACCTCAAATCCTCTGACCCATTACTCTCTCCATTAATTGAAACATACCCACCTCCCACACTCGAACTTTTTCAACCCCCTTTTCTTGCTTTAACAAAAAGCATTCTGTTTCAGCAGCTAGCGTATAAAGCTGGGTCATCGATTTACACTCGATTTATATCTCTTTGTGGTGGGGAATCGAATGTGGTGCCGGATATGGTTTTGGGATTAACCCCACAACAGCTTCGTCAAATTGGGGTTTCTGCTAGAAAAGCAAGCTATTTACATGACCTAGCAAGGAAGTATCAAAATGGGATTTTGTCGGATAAGTCGATTGTGGATATGGATGATAAATCGCTTTTTACAATGCTTACTATGGTGAATGGAATTGGGTCTTGGTCAGTTCATATGTTTATGATTTTTTCACTTCATAGGCCGGATGTGTTGCCGATACATGATCTTGGTATTAGGAAAGGGGTGAGAATGTTATATGGTCTTGAGGATCTTCCTAGGCCATCACAAATGGATCAGTTGTGTGAGAAATGGAAGCCTTATAGGTCGGTAGCTTCGTGGTATATTTGGAGGTTTGTAGAGGCAAAGGGGGCGAATTCGAAAGGCAATGTGGTGGGAAATTCTAATGTTAGTTTACAGCAGCAGATATTGTCAATGCAGCAGCAGCAACAACAACAACATCAGCAGTTCTTGGATCCTATTAATGGGATTCTTAATGTTGGGTATGTTTCTCTTTCGTGTCTAGTTTACCATTAATCGTTCAGTAATTGTCATGTATCTTTCCAGAGTTTTTCCATGTATGTTCATTGCATTTTCAATAGTATGTAATGATGGTTATCGGTAGGGGAAAGTTAGTCGATTACTCTCAGGTAAAACATGTCATGCAATAGTTTAGTTACAGAGTGGTTCGGTTAACCTCAATGTAGTAATACTTCGTTAGTGAAAAGCCTGAAAATGAAAAGAAAAGAAAAAAGTAAGGAAAGCAGTTGCTCTTCATCTAAATATCCTGAATATGATTGTCCTATCTTCAAAAACTCTTGAGTTTGTCTTTTTCCAAACTGTCCGCCATTTGCAAGCAGGAACCAATCTCCACGCTTTCTTGTCTAACTCTACCTCCCAAACTGTTCTAGCTCTTAGGAAGATCCACAGTGCTTGCAGGAACCACTCTCGATTATTTGATCCCCACCAAATTAAGAAAGAGCTGTCACAATTGATAAGTAAAAGAACAATGAAGAAACAAATGGCTATTAGTTTCTGTGTTAGACTCAGAGAACAAACATATGGAACATAACTGGAATCCTCTTCTTCTCAACCTTTCTTGAGTCAAAGCTGCCTTTCTAGATACCAACCAGGTGAAAAACAGAACCTTTGGACTTTGGAGGGGCATTATAAAATTATATGGCCAATCAATATTCTGATAAGCTTAATTTGTGATTGCTAAATTGGCAAACATGACTGTGAAAGTCCCATCTTTGCTTGGATTCCAATAGAATTTGTCCGCTGCTTCTGATAGCCCCTAAAGCTCCTCCAAAGTTTTAAAGAACTCTACTGCTCCTTTAATGATATCTGATGGATCTTCACATCCCTACTCCATCAGGACTGTTAACAGGATCTGTGTACCAAATCCCTTCCTGACTATTTGTCAAGAATTACCCTTCTCCATTAACTGTCCTCTTCCTTAGTTTACCTCCATATCCATTTCATCCGTCGACATGTATTTTGAACATTTATGTCCTTAATTACCAGACCCCTTTTTCAATTTCAAAACTTCCTCCAAACTAGTTCAGGGCTGAGCTTTGTCAAACCTTTTCTGGTTTAAGGTGCTAGTTTGTAATATTATATTACCATGTCAACCAAAAAAGAAAAAGAGGTGCTACTTACTCTAATCCCTTTGAGCTAAATAACTTTGCCATGACTTTCAGTGACTCCAATATCATGCCTATAATTATGGAAGTATTAACTATGTTCTTAATTCTAATGAGCAAGTAAGCATTTCTTTTCCCAATGAAGTTGTAATGCAAAAGTAAACACCATTGATTGAATTTCCCATATTCAGGAGCTAAGTGATTTAAGGGTCTAAGGATGCGAACAACCAAGCTAAATAATTTAAGGGGCTAAGGATGCAAACCAAGCTTAAGTATGAATCTGGTGGAATTTAAGAGCTTGCTAATTGGAAAAGAGCGGGTCCAATGAAGACACACTAAGTTATGCCTTTCATATTCTCAACATGTACTGCACACGTTTATTCCATCTACGTTTATATTAAAATTTTGTGTATACACATTCTTGAAATAAAGGTTGAAAAATGAAACATAAAAGTATTGAAGTGAAAATCTTTCTTATTTGGTTCATCTGTAACGACCTGTTGATTCCAAAGTAGCTTTTTAACCTCTCTTGGCCTTTTGTAGGTTTCTTTTTTGGTATACTACTTGTATATGGGAGTTTTTTCCTTTTATTGATGAAATTATATTTTGTCATACTTTCTGGTTCAATAACCGAAGTGCCATAGAGCCTCTGGATTTCTCTTTTCCCTGAGGTGGTTGTATAAGGCACTGGAAATACACGCGGGATCAAGTTAGAACTAGTTCTAATCAGCTGCCAGTAAAATGAGGCACTTAAAAAGACTAATGAAAACTTACTGGCAAGTTTTGTGTGCCATAATCAGTACTAACACAAACTGTTGGGAAGATGGGTGACCAATTATGTACATGCAGATCATAATCTAGTAGCATGTGAAGCATAACACGCAAGGGTGTGGTCTAGTGATCAATAAAGTGAGTTCATAAAAGAGACCAGGATTCAAATGTCAATTGAGACAACAACATTAGATGATTTCTTTCCATTTGTTTAAAGTCTTGGAAGGGTAGAATTACCTGTACCTGTGATGTTCGGAGATTGCAGGTACTCGTGGAATAGTTGAGGTGTTCCTAACCTAGCTCAGACTCCAGTTATAAGGGGATTATGCAAAGCATAGGACCCATGATTGCAAAATGCAATGAATTCAAGAAAAATATTGAATCTATCAACTTTAAATCCTAAATCTGCCTTTGATATCGGTCGGAACTCTGTAGCAAGATCAGTTGCCCCTCCCCTCCTCCCCCTTCTCTTTGTCTTTTCCTGGGAATTAGATCCAATTTAGTCTTTTCTTGTAGCTACAACCCTTTTATTTTCTTGTTTTGCTAATCTTTAAGTGATCAAAATACAGGGCATGTGCATGGGACAGTAATTGAAGTTCACATGATTGAGTTGATAGTGGCTGTGAAGGCTTAATTTTTTGGGATAGTAAATTGCTGTAATGTTAGCCATAGATTGTCTACATCTACTGAAAACTCAAGCTGAGAACATTGTAAAAATTCATTTACTACGTTCAACAACTGATGTTAAAACTCACGACATGTTTAAGATTATAAGATTAAAGAGTATTTTGGTACGCTGTGTATATATCTTTAGTTTAACATTCTTCTTTACTTTATTTAACTGCGTACCAATTCAAAATCAGACAAAAGAGAGTATTTACTTCTCAGGTACTATGACAAACAGAAACATACAATATCACCAACACCATCATATGGTATCAAAAGATATTCCAAGGTACCAATATATCACAAACTTAACAAAAATAATTTCTGCATGTATAAAAAACATTATATTATAAATCTTGATGTAGCAACACAGGATAAAAACGCGGCAATTTGTCTGATCTCTTTAAAAATAATATCCTAGGTAATAACGTAGAAGTAATTTTAACATAATAAGACATGTAATTGACGAGGCTATTGATGTATATACCAGTATATTCCTTCAGTATATCCTTAAAATATAGGGAAAAAAAGATTTTTTTTTGCATTCTTAGTCCCAATATGTAGTATATATAACAAACATGCTGGGAAAAAATTTACTTGCTCATACAAAATTCTACAAATAAACTTTTAAGATTATAGCCATGAATTATGAAAATTATGATCCTTTTTTCCCTGACCAACCTGTTGTGGATCTTTATCTTCCAATTTGGGCTAAACTTTCAAGTTTTAAGTCCAAACCAGCTTTCATTTGGGCTGAAGATGGCCCATTGGATCAGTTTTCGTCGATCACTTACGAGGAGTTGAATAGTTCAGCCCAATGTATTTCTTGTGAATTGTTACTTAGTTTAAGAAAAAATGATGTTGTTGTTGTTTTATGTTCACCAGGACTTGAATTTGTTGAAGTGATTTTTGGGTGTCAAAGGGCTGGAGTTTTAGCTGTTCCTATTAGCCCTCCTCACCCGTCTTTTTCGAGTGGTAATTGGCATCATTTACTTAGAGTTGTGTCTCAAACAAGGCCTAAAGTTGCTATAGCACAACGCGAATACATCAAACATGTTGAGAAGTATGTTGCAACATCGAGTAATAAGAAGTTGTCCGACGCCTTGAAGAAGATTCGATGGATTTCAACCGAGGATTTCAAGGGCAAGAAAATGAAAATGCAAGTTGAAAATGTGAATGTTGGTTACAATGGTTGCAATGTTGATGATGTTTACTTGATTCAGTACACTTCTGGTACAACTGCTATTCCTAAGCCTGTTTTAGTGACTGCAGGCTCTGCAGCTCATAACGTTAGAGTCGCGAGGAGAGCTTATGATTTACAGCCAAATACTGTTGTTGTTTCGTGGTTACCTCAGTACCATGATTGTGGACTTATGTTTTTGTTGTTGACGATTGTTTCAGGGGCAACGTGTGTGTTGACATCCCCGAGTACATTTGTCAATCGTCCTAGGATTTGGCTTGAATTGATATCAGAGTTCAAGGCAACTTGCACTCCTGTTCCTTCATTTGCTTTGCCTCTCGTGTTGAAACGTGGTCATACTGAGGCAACGGTTACAGGAACTGTTAGCAATCCTATTAGTATGTTGAGCTTGATGAATTTGATCATCGTTAACGAGCCAATTTACAATGATTCTATCGAAGAATTTGTTGAAGTTTTTAGGCCTTTTGGGCTAAATCCTTTGGCAATTTCTCCTTCATATGGCTTAGCTGAGAATGGCACATTTGTTTCAACATCATGGAGAAGTAGTAAGTTTAACAAATTTTCGACGTATAAAAAGCTCTTGCCAAGTGCTAGGCTTGATGAAGACCAAGTAGACATTGAAATTCTTGTTGTGAATGAAGATACAAATGAGATTGTTGAAGATGGAATTGAAGGTGAAATATGGATTTCATCTCCTAGCAATGCTATTGGATATTTAGCACATCCCTCTCTAACTCAACAAGTGTTCAACGCCACGCTTAAAAACAAGGCGGGAAAATGCTATGTTCGAACAGGGGATAGAGGAGTCATCAAAGGAGAAGAGAGATTTTTATACGTTACAGGACGATGTTCAGATGCTATTAAACTCTCAAATGGACAAGAAATTCATCCACATTATTTGGAGACATTAGCTTATAATAGTTGTCCAAATTTCCTGAGAGGTGGTTGTGTTGCAGCATTTGAGATGTCTGAATCTGAATACACATCTATAGTAGCTGTTGTCGTGGAGGTACAAAGCAAATGTGAAATAGAGAGTGATATGTTTTTGAAGCAAATATGTGAAGGAATAAGAAAAACAATGTTGAAAGAAGAAGGTGTTGGTATTGGACTTGTGGTACTTGTTAAATTTGGAAATGTACCAAAGACTACTTCTGGGAAAATACAAAGATGGCTTGCTAAGTATAAATTTGAGAAGTCACAAATGAATATCATAATGCAAATGAAGTTTGATAATAATGGTTATATTCAAAGCACAATGCAAAAAATGATACAAATTGGGAAAAAAGAGGCTAAAAAGGGAAAAAAAGTGCTAGTTGTTGAAGAAGAAGAAGGGCTATTTTTTGCTCCAACAAATAAGACTCTGAAATCTTCTCTTTAATAAATTTAATCAGAGGGTTAGTTCAGAAACTCTCTGAACTTTTATGTGTCATTTGGTACGTGAAGTAAGGTGAGATATTTCAGGATTAAGTTTGAGATTAAATTTATACTATCAATCAGATACATTTTAAATCTAATTTCAAACTTTATCCTGAATATCCACTTTATTATCCCATGAGATAAATTGATCCAAAAATAATTTAGTCTTTATTCCAAATGTTCCCGAAAAATTAGCTTGTATGTATATATGATACTTTAGTTTTTTGTAATATTACTTTGAATAATGTGTTTTATGTAGAATTTAGTGACCTACATTTTTAATGTATTTTTTGTTTTTTTATATCAAATAAGTGAAGATAAGGATAGAAGCAATCAAACGTCAAAGCACATGAAAAAGAGACAAAAATGAGGATGATTAAAATTTGATAAGAAATGAATGGACTTGAACTATGATCTATTATTCACAACATCTTAATCAAAGTTCAAATAACCTTTTAAGTGAATTATTAAGGGAATTTAACATAACATTGCATACGTGTTAAAGAGTTAAATATATTATATTCTTACTCTCTTTTATTATATATATACTTTTTTTTAATTTAGTGGAATTCAATTGCTTTCCAAAATATCTCAATACATTACGTCTCAATATATTGCATCTGATCAGTTTCAGATACATCACTCAACGTCTCGATAAGTCGCGTAGGGCTATGTATCTGATCGCAACATCTAATAAAATTAGTTAAAGTTCTTATTATTATCAATATAATAATAAAATGTATTGTAAAACGTTAATCAAAATTCTTATTTTTTAACTTTGAGAAAAAGAATTTCAGAACAACTAAAAGGAATATAAAGAGAAATTTCTTAGTATAATTATTTCACATAGCATAAACTGTCAATTCACGATGAGCATGGGTCTTTCTTTTTTCAAAATTCAATGATATATTTTTTTTATAAAATATAAATCAACTAAAATTTCAATCGTGCTTCTTGAATAATTTAAACTTTAAAATCATGATAATAAAATTACATATCTAAAAATAATTTTAAAATCATAATCTTAAATCGAATGTCGAAAATTTGTATTATCTAATGTTTATGACACTCAACATTGATAATCACATGGAGAAGATTGGGGTGATATGCTCTATAAGTATAAGCCTCAAATAGTGAGAAAAAGAAGCAGCAAACTATTCCCAAAATAGGAAACAAACATTTAAAATGGTGACAGAAACTCCAAGAAGCATCATAATTTATTGAAATAGACAATACACAAACTAATAAATAAATTTAAATAGGAAAAGCTTTTATATTCGACAAGACTAAGGATAAAAAAAACTACTACTCTTTCAAATAATTCAAATTAGACGACTAAGATTCATTCTTTCTTTTCATCCAACGGCTCTCTATTAATTAAATATCCTTCCATTCCTAAAAAAAACATTTATTTTTCGCTTTTACTTGTCATTTTTATATTTCAAAAAAATAAATAACTCATGTTTCTCCCTCAACATCATCAATTAACTAACTTCATACACAGACTTTACTCTATCTTGAGAGCTAAAGAATTCGATATACAACTTGGCTCATATTACAACAACATATCTAGCACATTTTTTTTAAAGTTTACATACGTAAATTTTATCTCTACCTCGCTAACCTCGATAAAGCGGCATCATGAGTGGTCTAAATTTCAGTGACAAGAGAAGTGTAAGAAATAGCTGAAAATTTTCAGATGAATAAAGGTTCCAAAGTACAACAATTAATAAAAATAAAAATCTAATTAAGTGGTTCCATATAGTTACAATAATACTACATAGACCCCCCCAAAAAAAAAACAAAAAAAACTAGCTACGTACGATTCCTAGTAAGATTACATAAGCATAAACCAAATCCCAAGAAATTTAATTTCATTTTTTCCCTCAAAACCTTAATTAAACAAAATTAATTAAGGTTGATCTTCTTGTATTATATTTTTTTTAGCAGAAGAAGGGTTCTTATTATTATGCATCCAAACCTTAAAAACCTGTCTCTTGACTCCAACTTGTGAGCAAAATCTTTGTACTTCAGCATCATCTTCTCTTGGAATTCTCCAACCTAATTTTTCAGCAAATTCCAACATTTTTTCCTTCTGTTCTTGACTAAATTTTGTCCTAAATCTTTTCTTAGCCAACATAAATGGTTGTTGTGGAGGTACTGATGTTGCTTGTTGATGATGATATGTGTTGAAATTAAGTTCTTCACTTGATGAGTCTGTTGCCCCACTTCCTCCGCCGCTACCTGTTTGAAGATATAATTAAGTAAATAAAAAAATAAAAATGTAGGTATATAGTTCACTTTAATGATTTTAACTTATCATACGATTCATCATGATATCAAGAGTCTTAGGTTCGAGTCGACAAAAAGGTACTAACAACGTGTTGAAGACATAATTAAGCGTAATAATTTATTTTAATTTGTGTCTTCAGTAAATATCATTACTAAAAAATTATTATTTCTTTCATGGAGAAATATTTAGAGATATTTTGATTGAATTAGTAAGGAATGACCAGAACATTTTCTCGCGAAAAAATTAGGAAGTTAGATGTGTTTCTCGCGGCCGTGAGCTGGTTAGGTGAAAAATGAGTGGAAAAATCAGTTCGATAATACAAATTTCTCACGAATTCAAGGTGAATTTTTTTTATTTATTTCTAGTAATGTATGTTTATATCTTATCATATGAGTATTTAAGTAAGCTTTGAAATCTAACATTCTCATGATGCTAATTATTCTTAATGATACTATTTTAAGAAATGATTAATAAGGTTTAAAATCACAATATTCAAATTAGATATTCACCTTCTAAATTTAGTGCAATGTGAAACAAAGACACATAAAATGAAATAATTAGTACAAGTAAATAAAAAAAATATGTCTCACAATTTAAACTATTAGACGAAATAATCGAATGTTAAATCGAAACCCCCCAAAGCCCATTTTGATAGGCTGAGGTGGCATGGTAATTCAAATTGAGCAAATGAGATTTCATTAAAATTTTTAGATGAGCTAAACACATTACCTCCGAAGGCCATTTTGACAGGCTGAGGTGGCATAGTAGTCCAAATTGATCTTCCTCCGTGTTGATGGTGATGGTGGTGATGATGATTCAACGACGGTATCGGAGAAGGTAGTGGTTGTGGCAGCTGTAATGGATGCACAACCATAATCCCCGCATTATTATTATTATCACCACCAACACCACCACCAACACCAGCGCCAACGTTGTTAGGTATTTCTTTTCTATGAAAATTCCTATGACAATTACAAGCAGCACATTTCAAAGCTTCGAGTGTACCTTCTTCACCACTAGGCATAAACTCACCACAACCATCCGTAACATTTCCACCAATATTAGCAGCATGATTTTTCAAGCACTCACGATATCTACCTCTCACTGTACTAGTTCCCTTGTTCAATTTATTAGATCCAGTAGTGGAATTATTGTGTGGTGCAGCGCTGACGATGTCGTCTGGCGCTGCACCACCAGGTGAGACAAGATCTATATTTTGAAAACCTGAAATTCTCATCTCTTTTTCCTCATTACCACCACCTAATGCCATGATTTTTTTTTTTTTGTTAATTTAAAAAAAAAAAAAAAGAAACCCTAACCCTATGTCTAATGTTATGTGGGGGGGTGTGAAATTGAAGAAATGAAAGGAGGATGGGGGGCCCTAGAAGTAGAGAAGGAAAAACAATGGACTATGTTGTTAAAAAAGAAGGAGAGATTTTAAGGAATAAAAAGTGGTGTTGTTGGGGAGGAAGAAACATGGGATGTAAGAAACAAGAGACAACATGGTTGCTTCAAACGGAGCTAAAGAAGAAGGGAGAGAGAGAGAGAAGAGAGAGAAAGTGGGAAACAGCAAAGAGATACTGGATGAAGTGTGCATAAGAAAACAACCGACAATGTCATGTTCAGTCCTAACCCACGCCCTGCAAACATTGGCCCCATGCCCACCACCCCATTTATTCATTATTGCCCTACCAACCCCCCCCCCTTCATTTTCCCATTAGGGGGTTAGAATGAACAACTTTATTTCTCTAATTCGATCCTTGAGTCCGGATCTCAGACTTGATTTGATTTTGAATGGAGTTATAAAATTTGAGATTTTGAGTCTCAATTTTGATCCTTACTTGAAATCTAACCCTGACCAGGACTCTAGACTCGACCTCGCCTCTGACTCGAGATTTTAGACTCGATAATTGAGCTTCGGGCTTAATTTGAAATTCAAGACTCGTGATTCGACATTCAATTCTTACTTGGGACTCGATACCCGACAGGGATTTGGGGCATGAGATGACTTTGTCTCGAGTCCTGAACAATAAACCGATCTCGACCTGAGATCCAACCTTAACCAGTGAGCAATCCAACTTTAATTTCAAGTTTTAACTCTGACTCAGAACTTAAGCTCCAAACTATAGGGAAAAAAAGTCAAAAGTAAATATAAGTATGACTTAGAAATGGGCAAAGTTTGAATACTACTTAAAAAATGAATTAGGTTGGATTTGATAAAAATTAGTTTAATATAAAATTATCTAGTACTCCATCTATAAATTTAAATTATGGATATATTAAACTTAGTCCTCAGCTTCTTAGGACATATTTGGCGATATCCCTACTCTAGTCTTCAAAAGATTCACCATATGTTTTGGGGTGTGGAGTTGGTGAATCTTTTAGTTTACCGTGTTACATACACATAGAGTCGAAAATGACGCAAAAATAGTGCGATTCTGCAATCTGATTTGACTCTGCTATCAGCTTTTATTATTATTATTCAACTTCTGCCCAATGAATGATGCAAATTATGAGTACTCCTAATTCTATGTCACCTTCTACCTGCAAACTCCATGCTTTTCTCCTTAGCAAATTCTTTTTTCTCGTTTCAATTTATTTGTCACCATTCAAATTTTAACGAGAGAGATTTTCTCTAATAGTAAGTATTTTTTATTTTTAAATGACACAAGACATGGTAAATGTCTCATTTAATTTAAATTAGTTACACAATTATGCATCTCAATTTTGAATGCACACAAGTAAAAACTTAAACTTATATAAAATTAAACAGGTAGACACATGAGCCATATGTGACATAGTACACGTAAGATATAAATTACCATATAAAATGGTCAAGTGTGCCTATTTGTTCAACTTTATACAAATTTAAGTGTCTAC